AGTGCCTCCAGCTTCTTTGGGCATCTGCTCTCTTGTGCATACATCTACACACACACACATGAACATTAAAGATGAAAAATAAACCTTAAAGAAAGAAGCCCCAAATTTCACCTGAACAATAGGTGCCTTGAGGGTCCATCCATCAAAGGATTAGGAAGCAAAAATGCAAATTGCACATGGAGGACTTTCAGCAGAGAATTCCTGAAAATGTAGGGCACCAAGGATGTCCTGCTTGTAGATAACCATCTAGGGAAATGCTTGCCTAGGTTTGGCTGTGCAGGCATTCAAAGGCCACAGGAGTCATGGGTCCAAAGGTACCAGGCTACATCTTGAGATGTGGTGATGCTCTAGTTTCTATCTGGCTCTTTCTGCTTCTTGATGTACTGAGACGTGAGTCTTGGCCACATGCTTCTACTGCTGTGAGCACAGCTGTGCCTTCTCTGCCATGACAGACAGAAATGCCTCTGAAACCACAAGCTCAAATAAATATTTCCTCATTTAAGCTGTGTCTGTTGGGTAATCTGTGACCGCAGTGCAGAAAATAGCTCACATGGCATGGAAATGAAGCTGGGGGGGGAGGGGTGGGCCCCAGGGGACTCATGAGGCCAGGTGCACTGGGCCTTGATGCTCCTGACTCTGTCTCCCAAGCTCATTGTGACTTGCTGCTGTATGCATGATCGCTGTCACTGACAGTAGACAGGAGGACTGGGCTGGTGACATGACTGGCCTGAGGGCCTCTCCAGTGACTCCTTGGGCATCCTTTCATATCCCTTTTCCTCCAAAAACAAAGGAGCATGGAGGCCTCCTCTTCACTGACAGCCCAGCCCTGATCAGAGCTGTTTTGAACGAACTAGGAGATCCCAAAGAACCTAGCTCTATGGTTTCCTCTCCTTCCTGTCTACTCTGGTTTGTGAACCAGCTTCCTGCCAGTAGTTCATAGTATAATCAATTGGATGGTCAACAGGGTCCCTCTCCTTGGGGAGACACAGATACCTACCTCAGGGGGCTGCTTCCGTAGGAAGGGGCTCTTTAAAGGTGGTTGGCTTACTTACGACACAATTTTTTCATTTTTATTTTTTGTGTATGAACAGTTTGTCTGCATGCATATCTGTTTACCATGAGTGTGCCTGGTGCCTGTGGAAGTCAGACGAAGGCATCGTATCCCCTGGAACTGGAGTTAGTGGTTGTGAGCCACCATGTGGGTGCTGAGAATGAACCTTGGTCCTCAAGAGCAACCAGTGCTCTTAACCCTTGAGCCATCTCTCCAACCCTACCCATTTATTTCTTTGTTAGGTTAGGGACAATTTACAATCCTTCCAAAAATCTCATTTCCTCTTTTTGATTAGATTTCTTCTTGATTTTCCCATAATTAAATAATTTTTGTTAACAACAATATTAGCCAGTGTACTAATTGGGCAATTTTCATATATTATCTGTAATCCACACCACAACTTGATTACTTTTATAGATGAGGGGAGTGAATCTCAGAGAGATCAGTAATTGACTATTGACACGTTGCTCATTTTTTTTCCTGGCATTACTTCATGAGGATGGGAATTTTTCTTTTCATTGGAAATGAAAAGGAAAATGTTTTCATTTATCTTTTACTTGTTAAACTTTCAAAAGAGGCTCTCAAAATCCTTTTTGAGACTGTAGGTGGGAAAGCCAAATACTTGGATTTTCACAAACCTAGGTTTTGAAAGGCAATGTAAAGGCTAATCTTGGGTGTCAACTTGACTACATTTGGAAGTAACTAAAAGCCAAGCAGCTGGGTGCCTCTGTGAGGGATTTCTCCTGGTTGGATTACTGTAGGTGGGAGAGGCACTTTAAATCTTTTTCTATTTTTTATTTAAATTAGAAACAAGCTTCTTTTACATGAAAATCCCAGTTCCCTCTCCCTCCCCTCCTCCTCTGCCCTCCCTAACCCCTATCCCATCCCCTTTCTGAGTCACTTTAAATCTTTAATTAATCCCTTTCTGATATTTAGCTGTGTTAGTTTATTCTATCAGTTCTGTTTCTGTTTCTTTGACAACATTGGCTTATTTATATGCATGATGTATCAGAAAGCAGAGCCCTTTATGTGAAAAGGCTCACAACTTTCTTGGCTCCATCTGGAAAGGGGGCTAAGATAGGGTTTGTGTGCCAGGTGGTGGTGGCCCAGTACTTTTGGGAGGCAAAGGTAGGTGATCTCTGTGAGTCGAGGCCAGCCTGAATCATTGCTTGTACCAGGAGGATCATTCTATTTGTTTGTTTGTTTGTTTGTTTAGAGATAGAGCCTCATGTAGCCCAGGCTGGCCTTGAACTTTTTATGTAGCAATGGACGATCTTGAACCTCTGCCTCCTGAGTGCTAGGACTATAGGCAAGCATCTTCATCTGCAGTGATGAGTTTGGAACCCAGTACTTCATGCTATGTGCTAAGCAAACACTCTACTGAGCTACAGCCTCAGTCTTTTTACCCTCAGGTATATGGTTTATATGTAGCAGATCTTTCATTTTGCCATGTGTGGCTAGGCACACAAGTCCAAGTCCATGGCTTTTATCCCCAGAACCTGGGCTAGCCCTCAGTTGCTGCGCAACTGGAAAGAGTCTGAACAGTTAAGTAGTGTTATCAAATGTGAGAGCCCAGATGGGCTGAAGTGCTGATGGCACAGAGGTAGGCAGGGCCTCAGTGAGAGGTGAGGATCTGGCTGTGGCAGTAGCAGAGGAAGGGCAGGACAGATAGAAAGAGACAGAATCAACAGGACGTGATTGATTGATATGGGCTGAGGTCCAAATACCTTCACCCAGGTACTGGCTCAGGCCTAAGTCTTTCCAGTGCCCTTGCCAGTATCTACCTTGGTTCTAAAATGTTCTTTTGCTTTGTTTAGGCTCTGTCCTGGCCCCATGTTGTTGGCTGAAAGTATTATGCTGGCCTCTGCCTGGAAGAACATTCCATCACTCTAGTAATAGGCTTTCTTTGCCTCCTTGGCTTGACAAGGAGCTGCTTGAGGGAAGGCACTGCATCTCCTGAATTCCAGCACCTGGCATGGAACCGGGTGCCTCTCATGTATCCACTGAGCCAAGTAAGCAATTAAAAAAGAAGGTGGGGTGCAGGGGAAGGAGATGGGGAGACAAAGTCAGACCTCACTATAAGAAAACCCTCATTGGAGAGCAGCTGCAGGCTGATCAGAACAGCAACTGCCTGGAACTGAAGCAGATAGGACTCAGAATGTTCTAGGACTTGCACTCACCGTTGTCAATAGGCCTGCCATGTTACTGAGGTGGAGTCTTCTGCACAGTCGAGTGGGATGTAGGTTGGGGCTCCTAATGGAAAGACAGGAATAGGACATAGTGCTGAGTCTATGGTGGCCTGTGCTGGGGCCTGCTTGTGAGCTCTGCCTGCTCCTGCTGATTTACATTCTAAATTCTCTGTATCTTGGCTTTGACCTTTTCTGTTCTTTCTTTGCTGTTTCCATTTCCTTATCCACCAGGTCCTCAGGAGAGCAAAACATGAGCCCAGGGCAGAGGCTTGGGTTTGCATTCATAGCGGTGCCTTTGTGACTTGCAGTGAGAGAAAATCTTGCACTGTGCAGTCCTTTTGTCTTGAGTTGTATTTTTAGTTCCCCGTCCTCACCCTCCCATGTTTTAGAAATTTTAATTTTATTTTTAAAGAAATGGCTTGCTTTCTGCAATGTCCAAATATCTGGTGTCAAGACTGGGAGAGTTAAGAGCAGAAGTTTGGGGGTCAGGCAAATTTTACGCTGTGTGGCATGACCTTGGGCAAAGTCCTTTTAGGATTGCTGTGTGGCATGACATTTGTCCAAAGTCCTTTTTGGACTCCCTGCTAAGCTCCCTCTCTGGCCCAGTGATGACTACAAACTGGAAATCGCACTTCTGCGCAGTTAGCCTACGGCATCTGCTCCACGGAGAGACTAGCTATGCTCCTCACGCCTCCTTGAGGACAGCTCCTATAACTAAGGTGCACCGAACCCATTTCACAGGTGGGGCAGCTAGTGAGCCTGTCTCACTCAGCCTGCCACACTGAAGTCACTGGGGTGTAGGATGGCAGCGCCCTCCCCCTCTGCAGTAAGTCACTTGAGTAGCCTCTTTTGAGACTTTGTTTTGGCGGTGGTCTGGAAACAGTAACTGGTGCTGGCCTTCCCATAATCTACTTCCTATTTCTCCTTCGGAGAGAGGGCTGAGCCAGGAAGCTGGGCATGGGGTCTGCATCTAATGCACAAGAAGCTTTCTCTCAAAGGAGAGGAGAGACCTGTGGTACAGGCAGGGTCTTAAGACATCGGCTCATTTGCTCTGGGCTGGAGTGAGCAACACAGCTGGTTAGGCCACCTATCTCATGCTGATCACAAGCTCCGATGGGCAATTATAAATGTCTTTGATTAATAAAAAATGGGGTGATGAATGAATAGTTAATCAATGCAGTCTGGCAGGAAGCGTCTCTCAGAACCTGGGCGGTGGTGGGGCAGGGGTGGGGGGTGGGCGTCCAGTAGGGGTTGGGGGACCAAGGAAAAGGGTCCTTGGGGGTGAAAGGCAAGGCTACCTCCAATGACGGTTTCCGATAAGCACCTCTGTCCTAATCCTGGCTCCCTGGTTTTACGGTGGGGTTTTCCTGGCAGCTCTGGGGATAAAGCTTGGAGTGGGGGGTCAGCTGATGAACAAGTGGGAAAGCAGTGTGTTCTGTGCCCACCCAAGTGGACACGGCGAAGAGCTGGAAACACTATGTGAGTGCATCCAAGTGCTCTGAACTGTGCCCTGGATCTCGATGGCTGAACCAGTGCCTGGAACTGTGTGAAGACTAGCTCGTTAGGGGCGGCAGAGGCAGGGTTACCTAAAGGCGTAAAACCAGGCAAAAGAGAGCAATCGACCCTGCACGGATCCTAGACAGAAGTTGAGGTAGGAAAAAAAGAAGAGGTTAAAAAAAAAAAATGAAGTGGTGGAGACAGGGGGCGGGTCCCAAACCCTTCCGGGAGGGGCGAGCGGGAGGAGGCGAGGAGGGGACTGGGAGGGGCGACAAGAGCAGGGAAACCCAGCCAAGGCGCCTTGGAGAACTGTTCGATTAGCCGGCTGGGCTGTGCGAACGCACGCGAGTAGAACCGGGTGAGAGAGTGGGTCGAGTCAGGCCGCGCCGGGCCGGGCCGGGCTGGATCGGGTCGGGCAGAGACTGGTAGGCAGGCGGTCTGGTGGCAGTGGGGCTTCGGGGACAGCTATCTGCGAGAGAGCGGCTGCGGAATAGGGCCCGACCTCTGGGCCTGGTGGAAATTGATGGATGTTGGTAGAGGCAGTGGTGGATGGGGATTGTGGTCTGGGGATTGTGGTCTTAGATAAGGGTCTGGTTGGTATATTTTTGCATAGTGACCAACTAGCCAAGCGATCTTGAGGCTAGTTCATAAATCCTTCAGAAAATTTTATTTCTCTATGATGCATTGAAGAGCTCCAGCGGCTAGACGGAGCCTTTGCATTACCTACAGGAACTGCTCTTTTTTTTTTTCTGAGACAGGGGTTCTGTGTTGTTTTGGAGGCTGTCCTGGAGCTCGCTTTGTAGACCAGGCTGGCCTCGAACTCACAGAGATCCGCCCGCCTCTGCCTTCCCAGTGCTGGGATTAAAGGTATCGCCTCCAACGCCCCGGCCAGGAACTGCTCTTGTAGTGAACTGTGTTTCGATTTTCAAGTTAGGGGTTCCTAACTTGTAATGTCCCCTCCCCCTCATACTTTGGGCAGGATAGACTTTTCCTCTATGGCATGCTTTGTGGTTGAAACCCGCCATATCTTCTTACTCATGGGTGGTTCACAGATGCCATGAATGAGGAGATGTGGACAGTATCGGGGTTTTTTGTTTGTTTTTGTTTTTCCGTGTTTGGGAATGAACTCCAGATAACGTTCTATGTCTAGGTCGCATTCCCTTGTCATGTATGAAAGTTTTCACTTCCCAAAGCGTCATGCCCTCTTCCTGAGGACCCGTTTCCTCACTGCTGCTTTCCCACAAGCTTCCTGTATCAGGCTGTTTCTGTCTTATTTTCCAGGATCCAGACAAATCAATTCCATGGTACCCCTCGGCCAGCCCAGAGACAGCTGGAGCAAGAGGGCTCTTTGAAGTCGAGGGCTTGCCAAAGGAATTTTCCACACATCACTACCAGTGGTCATCTCAGAGGGTTAGGCTAGGATTTGTGGATCCACTTCACCTCAGACCATGGCAAGCCGGGGCCTGCCCCTTTACTTGGCCACCCTCTTGACTGGGCTGCTGGAATGCATTGGTTTTGCTGGTGTCCTCTTTGGCTGGACTTCGCTGTTGTTTGTGTTCAAAAAAGAAGGCTACTTTGCAGAGCCCTGGGAACAGAACTGCTCTCATAGTAGTAATGCAACAGGACCCCCTGGTAAGGACACAGAGGGCCTTTCTTTTCTTTCTTTCTTTCTTTCTTTCTTTCTTTCTTTCTTTCTTTCTTTCTTTCTTTCTTTCCTTCCTTCCTTCCTTCCTTCCTTCCTTCCTTCCTTCTTTCTTTCTTTCTTTCTTTCTTTCTTTCTTTCTTTCTTTCTTTCTTTCTTTCTTCTTAAAGGAAGCTGTGCCTGGTTCCTGGGAGGTAGAAGAGAGCAGGGAGGACTCCATTCCTTACTTTTGTTGCCAGCCTTTTTTTTTGTTTTTTTGTTTTTTGTTTTTTGTTTTTTGTTTTTTGTTTTTTGTTTTTTTGAGACAGGGTTTCTCTGTCTTGTTTAGGAGGCTGTCCTGAAGCTCTCTCTGTAGACCAGGCTGGCCTCGAACTCGCAGAGATCCACCTGCCTCTGCCTCCCGAGTGCTGGGATTAAAGGCGTGCGCCACCAACGCCAGCTGTTGCCAGCCTTTCTATGAGGGAGAGGTTGTCAGAATCCTCTGTGTAGAGGGGGTCAGGGAAGGAAGCATCAGATTTTAAAGGGCCCCTAGGGACCTCTATGTTTTAATGCAACCTGACAGTCAGCTTTCTGATGAGCAAAGTTGTTCAGGATAGAGGGCAGCCTTGTCTGGGAACTAACCTGGTGGGAAGGTTGGGTGATTCCAATTTTGGCTCAGGTAACCTGGGTTCCTAAGAGCTTTTCTTTGCCAGACTCCAAAGCTCAGGATGAGAAGTTTTCACTCATCTTCACCCTGGCATCCTTCATGAACAACTTCATGACCTTCCCTACTGGCTATATCTTTGACCGCTTCAAGACTACTGTGGCCCGCCTTATAGCCATGTAAGTCTAAAGCTCCAGCCTGGGCAGAGGTGCGGGGAAGAGCCATCCTCTCCCCATGCCCTTGAGGGAGAAGAGCCATCCTCTCCCCATACCCTTGAGGGAGAAGAGCCATCCTCTCCCCATACCCTTGAGGGAGAAGAGCCATCCTCTCCCCATACCCTTGGTTCCCTTTTCTTTGCTCTTTCCCCTGTAGGCAGTAATGTATTATCCTGTTACATGCTCAACTTCCTGAGAGGCCAGGGTTACAAAATTAGCAAAATGTTTGGTGATGCTATCTGCTTTCCTTGTCCCTGGAATCCTCAGTCTCATTTCTAGCAGGGCCTCACATCGAGGCAGCTCAGGCTGTGTCTTCATTCCCCCCCCATCATTTTCTGGGTTACCCCAACGGTGGAATTTCAGGTTCCCTCTGACTAAGATGGTTCTTGCAGTGGGGGGTTTCCCTCGCAGAGGAGCCAGAGACCTCATGTTGCTTTTACAAGGTTCTGCTGTCTCCTGATCACTATAATGCTCACGGCCGGCCGAGTTCACTGATAAGCAGGCTTTGCTGATCCCTGATGTAGCCTAGAGCAGGAGCATGAATTGGAAGAGCTGTGAGAAGGAAGGGAAAGCAGAAAGTAAAGCAAGCTCCTTACACATTAAGCTTTTGGGAGAATAGTGCGTGTAAGTCACACAGAGCTTGATTTTTTTAGTTTCCTTTCGTCTCTTGCCCACCATGTGTCCTTTGAACTTCTTTATGGTATGGATTTTGTTATCTATCTTTACAAAGTCCTCCTCCACTAAGGGGGCCCCAGAACCTTAGGGTTTACCCTGGAATCACTTGAACTTTTTTTTTTTAATGTTGCTGGAAATGGAACCCAGTGCTTCATGTATGCCAGGCAAGTGTCTACTTATGTGTTGGTTACTTTTCGGTTGCTGTGATAAAAAACCAACCAAACAAACAAACAACAAAAAAGAAATGAAAAAAGAATACATGACCAAGGCAACTTACAAAAGGAAGCATTTCATTGGGCTTATGGTTCCAGAGTCTATGATGGGGGGGGGGGGGGGAGAGGCATGACCTTAGGCAATTGGAACAGCAGATAAGAGCTCACATCTGGATCCACAAGCAGGAAACAGAGAGTACACTGGGGGTTGTTTCAGGCTTTGGAAGTATCAAAGTCAGCCACCAGTGACACATCTCTTCCAACAAGGCCATGCCTTCTAGTCCTTTCTACCTACTGAGAACCAAGTATATTAATGTATGGATCGATGGGGGGGACACTTTCATTTAAGCCACAACTTCTAAGCCACACTCCTAGGTGCGGAACTCAATGATTTTGAGCTTGGAATCTAGATCAGTATGACCAGGCACGTCCAACTCTTCTGACATTGCAACACCAAGTTGTCACCTGAACTCTCAACTACCACAAAGTCCAATTACACACAAACACACACACAATCTTGATAACATTTTTTTTTTGCTAAATCTATGATTCTGTTAGCTCGAATTCATAGCTGTTCTTGGTTGCTTGTGGTAACTAACCCTTCCGTTTTCCAGAAAGGCCAGTGAGGCCCAGAGAAAGGCAGCACTGAGTCCACAGTCTTATCTGGAGGAGGAATTAGAATTCAAGGTTTTGATTTGCAGATTAGGCACCAGGCCTCCTTCCTCAGGGGTTGGCCTCAGGACCAGAGAGCCTGTTCTCTGCCCACTGTGCTCCTGGCCCTTCCACATCTTATTGTCAGTTGAGCATTGTCTTAATTGATTTCCTTTACTAGGATAAAATACCCGACAAAAGCAACTTAAAGCCCTTTCTCGCAGTTCCAGGTTACCCTCCATCATGGTGGGGAAGTCACAGCAGCAGCAGGAGTTCTAGGGAGCCGTTCACATGCATCAGTAGTCAAGCTGTTCCTTGTTTTCTGTAGCCCAGGTACCCCTGCCATGGGAATAGTTCACCCAAGTCAGGATGGGTCTTCCCAAATCAGCTAATGGACTCACCTCATTGCCAGGTGATGCTAGGTTCTCATCAGGTTTACAATTGGGTTTTTCTATCAGACTGTCTGTGGAGTCCTAGGTTCTCATCAAGTTTACAATTGGGTTTTACTATCAGACTATCAATCTGTGGAGTCAGGTCCACATCTCAGTCTATTGGGACTTCTCTGGCGCTGAGCCTCTCAGAAGTGTGTGAGCCTCTGGAGTTCCTTGGCTGAGGATGCTGTGAAGTCTTACCTAGTCTTGGATGTCGAGCAGACTCCTGTCCTGCCTTCATGTTTCTTTTAATCGGATGCGTCTGTTTTTCAGATTTTTATACACATGCGCCACACTCATCGTTGCCTTCACCTCTGCAGGTGAGTGCTGGGGTGAAAGGGAGAGAGGAGCATGGGGAGTGGATGGATGGGACAGGTGTGGAAGGCAAAGGGCCCAGGGTATTTTTCAGAGATCCACAATTTGAAAGAACCCCTAAGAGTTGCTGAGTTGTTGCTTGTCTGTGAAAAACTTACCCCCCTGAGGAAAGAATTGTATCTACACAGTATTAAAATGCTTTCTTGCTTTTTGTAACATGCAGGATTTTTGAAAACATCTTCATTTAGCAGAATCAAAATTGTCAACCCTGTTTCATGCAAAAAATTGCTTCTGATGATTACTATAAAATAAGTCTGGGAGACGGGAGGTGGTCCTCGTAATCCCAGCACTTGGGAAGCAGACACAGGCAGATCTCAGTGAGTTCGAGGACAGCTAGGGCTGTTACACAGAGAAACCCTGTTTCAAAAGACAAAACAAAACAAAAAAACCACAAACAAACAAACAAAAAGAAGCAGGGAATTCCAGTCTTCTCTGTTTTTTCTTCTTTCTTTCTTTCTTTCTTTCTTTCTTTCTTTCTTTCTTTCTTTCTTTCTTTTTTTTTGGTTTTTTGAGACAGGGTTTCTCTGTGGCTTTGGAGGCTGTCCTGGAACTAGCCCTTGTAGACTCACAGAGATCCGCCTGGCTCTGCCTCCCTAGTGCTGGGATTAAAGGCATGCACCACCAATGCCCGGCTTGTTTTTTCTTTTTTTTTTATATGGAATAGAAAACTGAGAGGAGCTGAGGAGAGGGAGGGAGGGAGAGTAACTTCAGGTCCTTTCTCACAGTCTGAAGGCTTGCTTGAGGCCACAGATAATATGTGGGAAGTGGGCCTGGAAGCCAGTGGTTAGGCTGGTCAAGAGGTAACTCCCAACATTCTTCCTCGGGGTCAGATTAGGTGGCTTAGTTTTGGGCGTTGAGACATAAAGATATGTAAATCCATTGCATAACAGCTGTGTTGGAGCCAGCTGACAACATGAGGGAGGCTCCATTTGTGTTTAGCAAGCCCAGGGCCTGAGTGTTTTGGTCCAAACAAATCTCATCGGAGTCATATTTGTAAGCCTTGAGAAAATTCCCCGTTTTTAGTTTTATTATTATTTATTTGTGTAGACATGTGTGTAGACATGTGTGCTCACTTGAGTGTGCATGCAGAGTGTGTGTACATGTAAGTAGAAGCCAGAAGTGTATCTTAGGCACCTCAGATGCCTCGTGTTTTTGAGGCAGCCTCTCTCGGTTTACCTAGAGCTTGATGATCAAGCCATACTTCCTGGCTATGGATATTCATGCCTGCAGGGCATCTCCCCAGCTGTCTTAGTCCATGTCCTATGGCTGTGAAGAGACACCATGACCACAGCAGTTCATAAAAAGAAAGCATTAATTGGGGCTGGCTTACAGTTCAGAGATTTAGTTCATTATCAGCATGGCGGGCAGCATGCAGGCAGACATGGTGCTGGAGAGGTAACTGAGAGTTCTATGACTGGATCCACAGGCAGCAGGAAGAGTGAGACTCTGGGCCTGGCTTGGGCTTCTGAAACACCAAAGCCCACCTCCCCAGTGACACACTTCCTTCAACAAGGCCACACCTCCTAGCCCATGTCAAGGAGCTCCACTCCCTAATGACCAAGCATTCAAATCTATGAGCCTGTGGGGGCCATCCTTGTTCAAACTGACATGCGAGCCCAGCAAAAGTCCCTCGTCCTTCATTAATCAAGACTTTTATTTCAGGATGAGTATTGAGGCTACGTGATTTTATTATGAAACTGATCTCCAATCTTTAGCTCGTTAGGAGAGATATACATTTGTTAACGACAGAAAGTGAATGACAAATAGTGTGACTCATTTCTAAAATCATCTCTTCTCAGAGCTTAGGTATAGAACAATAGTTACTCAGGAGGATGCTGTATGATGATGGTAAAGGTGCTTGCCACCAAGTCTAATGACCTGAGTTTGGTTCCCAGGACCAATTGGTAGAAGGAGAGAACCAACTCCTACAAGTTGTCCTCTGGCCTTCACACATACACACACACACACACACACACACACACACACACACACACACACACACACACACACAAATGTGGAAAACAAACAAAAAAACCCTAGGATGCTAGTACAAACCTAATATGCCAACAAGCTTGGGATTACCTGGTACAAGAATTCCCTCCCACCCCCCAACTGCTCCATTCAGGGTTTCTCTGTATAGTTCTGGCTGTCCTGGAACTCTCTCTCTCTCTCTGTAGACCAGGTTGTCTCAAACTCAGAGATCTGCCTGCCTCTTTCTCCCCAGTGCTGTGGCTAAAGGTGTGTGCCATCACTGTCTAGCCAAAATGGTTCTTTTTAAAACATCACTTTTTCAGTGATTTTTGAGTCATTTAGAGACTACCCAACACGGAGGCCTGTTGCTTACATGTCAGTTTTGCTTGCTTGTTTTTGTTGTTGTTTTGTTTGGAACCAGGAACAGGCTTACTCATGCAGCATTTCTAATGCCAATCTCGCCACAACGAGAGCGCTCAGATTCTCACAAACAAAGGGAAAGGTCACAGGCATTTTTCTCTCAGTTTTCACAGTGCTCCAGTGTGGCCGGGCAGAGTCTGTTGTTTCTATGTAGCAGGAGAGGAGAGAGAGGCAGATTCAGAAGGTAGCTCGAGGTCAGGGCTATGCAGTGATTTTGAGGCTGGACTTGGGGACTGACTCCAGAGTCCTCCTCTGCCACAGGGATGGAGCGAGCATTCAGGGTCTCCCAGAGACCCAGGACCATCTTTGGTGAGAAGAGGGTCTCAGGACACCTCATGAGGCACGACTGGGGAGTCTATTGACCATTCCCTAAAGCAGGTTGGTGAATCAAGCTCCAAGGGCTCTGCGTTGTTGGGAGTCTGAAGGTGGTGAGAGCTGGAGCCTCCTGAGGGGAGTTTGTCCAACTTCTGGGGCTTTGGGCTACAAGGAAATCACCATTCCTGTGACTTTTATGGTTCCAGACTCTGCCCTGCTGCTCTTCCTGGCCATGCCCATGCTTGCGGTTGGAGGAATCCTGTTTCTCATCACCAACCTACAGGTGTGAGCCTGCGTCCCTCTTCTTTATCCCAGGAACCTGGGGGAGATGGGGACATCATTTGTTTCCAGAGGGGTAAAAGGGTCTTGGGGTATTAAACATACATGACCCAAGCTGGATGCTAAGGAGGGAAAATAACTGTTTCGTGAATGAATAAGTCAGCTAGACTTGTCTTCTCCAGATTGGGAATCTCTTTGGCAAACACCGCTCAACCATCATCACCCTCTACAATGGAGCATTTGACTCCTCCTCAGTTGTCTTCCTCATCATTAAGGTAAAATACCCGTAGCTGGGGACAGCCCAGTGACTAAAGTGCCTGCCGGGTGAGCACAGGTACCCAAGTTAGATTCCCAGAACACATGTGAAAAAGCAGTGTTCTGGTGTGCTTTGTAATTCCCATGTGGGGTGTTGGAAGCAGGTAAATCGCTGTGGTTAGCTTCGTTTACTTAGCAAATCACAAGGCCAGTGAGAGACCCTGTTGCCTGAGGAATGATGCCAGAGTCTGTCCCTGGCTTCCATACACTGTCACACACATATTCACACATGTCCTACTATTACTCAACATTTATTGAGCCTTGAGCCCTTATTTACTCCAGATACTTGTCTTGTCATGATTCCTGCCAGCCTTCCATGCAGGCACTATTTAAATGCCATTCCTTAGGTGACACATTTCAGTCTCTGGGAGATCATGATGCTTTCAAAAGCTCTGTGCTGGTAACTATGGTGTTTGAACTTGCACTTAGGCCTGTTTGTTTTAGAGTTGAGCTTGTGAACACCATATCCCCTCTTTAAATTTAAGTATACTCTTTGCTTAGTTCAGAAGAAAAATGTGGTCATGACATCCTTGAGTCAGGGCTGGGCAGAAGTTGGGAACCCTGTGGAAGGGGACATTTCCTACTGTGAGCTTCAGCTTTGGAAACTGCATAGGAAGGGCTAGTGGGGACATTAGAGACCACACAAGGGCCTCTCTGTCTCTCCCAAGGGCCAGCCATGAGTGTCAGGAGAACAAACTGTTGGCAAGGATGTTAGTAGCCCCATTAACAACCATTCTGCTAATGGTTTTGGTTTCATTAAGTAATTGCTGTTATTATTTAAGACAAGGCCTCTTAAGCTGGCCCAAGACTCACTGTGTAGTCCAGTTTGCTCTCAAACACACGATCATTCTTTCTCGACTTTCTAAGTGCCAGGATTACAGACATGCGTCATGACACCCAGCTTCAATTAATTTGTGTGAGACAGCATCTGACTGTGTAGGGCAGGCTGGACTGAATTTTGTAGCCCAGGCTGGCCTCAAACTCTCTGTCATCCTGCCTTAGGCTCTCTGGTACTGAGGCTACAGGCAGGAATCACCATACCTGGATTTGCTAATGGTTTTTGTGTTTTAAGTCATCGCTAACAGTTTTATCTGGCTAGTGCCTTACCTAATGCATAGGATGAATTCTGATTGGTCTAAGGTAACCACGGCATACTCTGTCTCTACTACCAGTGACAGGTAGAGATGGGCATGTCTTCAAGCCCTTGCAAATGAGACAAAGCAGGTGTATAGTGTCTAACTCCAGGGGACGTTGCCTCCTTGAAGGAGGGTAAGAGCAGAGCTGAAAGAAAACTTTTAGGCTGGGATTAGCTCAGTTAGAATGCCTGTCTCGCATGCACAAAGCCCAGGGTTCAAACCCCAGCTCTGCATAATCAGACTTCCTGGCATGCCTGTAATCCTAGCACAAGGGAGATGAAGAAGAGAGGATCAGAAGTTCAAGGTCGTTTTACACAGTGAACTTGGAGCCTGCCTAGCCTACCAAGACCTTGTCTCAACAACAAACAGAAGCCCTCTTCCTGAAAGGCACAGTTTCTCAGTTCTTCCTCTTTGAAGGCTGCAGTGGGACGGAAGGTGTATTAGGTGACACTGTAGTGACCACACTCCAATGATGAGGCAACAAGCTGGGGCACAGTGACCGAGCAGCGTGGGTGAAAATGGTGGATCCGAAACTGTTCAACCCGGGACTCTCTCTGGGCTTTTATTAGACCATGCATGGGCTCGTGAACCTCACTTAGTCCCATGGGTGCCGTGGGTAGAGAGTCTGAGTTTCCCGGGGCTCGCTAGACCCTCTGCTGCTGGCGCAAGAGCCACTCTCCAGGTTCCTTTTCCTTGATGTATCCGCTCTCCGGAGGTGGAGGTGAAGGACTGGAGCAGGAGAGGGATTCCTAGTTTAGTATGACTCAGCTGCTTCCTCTATGGAAACAGACCTCAGTGTCACCCTCCGTACAACTTAGAACCTTATCGAGGAATTTAGAGGTTCTCTTTGTTATGAGAGTCACTCAGGAGAGCCCAGGGGAAGCTGGGTAGTTTCCCACAGATGTGTTTTATAAGCTGAACTCTTGTGTGAAGAGTTGGACAAAAGGACTTCTTGCTGCTCAAGAGGAATAGCATTAGGCTAAAAGATCTCGGAGAGTCATGTGCGGAGGTTCCACAAGACTGTAGGGCCAGGTGCCAAGATGTCCCCTGCTTCTCACCGGACCCTGGGTGAAGGAATTTGAGGACCAGGAGTCCTTGGGCAGTTCCAGGATGACTGTCAGGAGGCTGTGATGAAGTTTTTTGGAAATGGGGCTTCCAGTTTCTGCCTCCTACACTTTTCACTTGTGATAAATACATGTAGCATAAAATTTGCTATAAGAATTTTAAAAGATTATCTATTGATGGAGTGTGTGTGTGTGTGTGTGTGTGTGTGTGTGTGTGTGTGTCACAGCATGTCTGTGGAGGTCAGAAAGACACCTTGAAGGAGTCTGTCCATCATTGGGTTGTGGGTGTTGAACTCAGATTATCAAGCTTAGCAGGAAGCCCCTTTGCCCACTGGATCATCCTGCTGAGCCATGCCATTTTTTTTACGTGTACAGTTAAATAGTTTTAAGGACACTTATGCTGCAGAGCAACCAATACCATCATTCATCTCCAAAATTTTCACGTCATGAAGTTGAAACCCTGTACCTGTTAACACAAGTCCCTCATTACTTCCACCCTGGTTCCAGCCTCTTACAGTTGCCATTTTATGAGTTTGACTCCCCCAGGAATCTCTTGTAGGTAGAACGACACGGAATTTGTCTTTATGTGACTGGCTGTCCTCACTTGCTGTCTCAAGGTTCATCTGCTTTGTGCTGTTTGCTGTGATAGCCTTCCTTCTTTTAAAGGCTGAATAAGACTCCATCAAGTGGCTTTACCACATTTTGTTCATGCATTCACTTACCCACGGACACCCTTTCTCTCCACTTTTGACTATGGTCCGCAGTGCTCTTGTGAGCACTGGCGTAATTCTGATGTGTTGCTCCTTTCTCCGCAGCTCCTTCATGAACGGGACATCAGCCTCAGGGCCTCCTTCCTTTTCCTGTCTGTCTGCAGTGTCTGGCATGTTGGGCGCACTTTTTTCCTGATGCCTCGGGGACACATCCCTTACCCACTGCCACCCAACTACAGTTATGGGTAAGCATGATTGGCCAGTGCCCCACCTGATCCGAGGCAGGAAATGATTAAGCCTGTTATAGAAGAGTGTATTAGCTACCTCTGCACAGGAAGCATACCAAGCCTTCCTTCCTTCCTTCCTTCCTTCCTTCCTTCCTTCCTTCCTCCCTTCCTTCCTTCCTTCCTTCCTTCCTCCCTTCTTCCCTCCCTCCCTCCCATTCATTCTTTCTTTCTTTTTAAGGATTTACTCATTTTTATTTCATGCATAGGAGTGTTTTGCCTGTGTAAATGCATGTATACCATGTGTGTGCTTGGTGCCCCTGGAGGTCAGAAAAAGGTGTCAGATCCCCTAGAACTAGAGTTACAGATGGGTGTGAGCTGCCATGTGGGTGCTGGGAACCAAGCCTGGATCCTCTGGAAGAGCAGAAAGTCCTCGTAATGGATGAGCTGTCTCTCCAGCTCCTAAGAATTTATTTCTTACATCAGAGCCAGACTGGGATGATCTTACCTCTGATCATCTGATGTGTTAGCGGGGAGCCGGCTGGTCTGCCATGCCTGAGCTTACATTGGGTTTGGAGTGACAGGCATGTTGGTGTCACAGGCTAATGCTCCAGCAGGCTTGCTTGGGTGTGTGCACACAGTGGTTCCAGGGTTCAGAGAAGGGGCAGAGATGCCCACAGTTTGTGGAGGTTTCTACTTGGAATTGGTGTGTCACTCATGTGCTACATTCTCTTGGCTGAAGCAGTTCACGTGTCTAGCCTTGGTGACGGCGAGAAATGGTCTGAGTCCATTGCCAAGGACCAAGACAGGGGAGGTGGATGCCACAATCAGGTCGGCTGTCAGTTACAGGGAGCCGCCCACTCGCTGTTTGTTATGACCCATGTGCTCTTCTTTCTCATGGTCACCTTTCCCGCTGACAGCCTTGCCTTTGTCTTCCAACTGAGAACACGAGGCTCTGAGGGGTAAGATGGAGCCCTTGTGACAGATCCACCCTCTTCTTACATATTTCCAGAGTACTCCAAGCTTGCCTGCTTATGAGAATCAATCAGATCATTACAACAAAAAATAAAATGGGAAAATGGAAACCTGGCCCTTAGCCAGCAGGCATCCTGATTTAATTGGCCTGGCTGCCCCTTGTCCATCGAGGTTGTCCAAAAGCAGTTCCACGTGCAGTCAGATGAGGATCCTCCGCACTGCTCTCCCGGGCCGGGTTCTGGTCAGGCTCACAGTCCTCGCCCTGGCTGCCCGGGCTTCTGTTTCCATAGCTTGTGCTCCAGGTTTGGCACCAGAAAGGAAGAGAAGAAGACAGCTGAGCACGAAACCAAGGAGCTGCAGTCAAAGGAATTTCTTTCACCAAAGGAAGGTGAGTTCTGCAGGTTCACCCATGTCCCCTGAAGACACCTGCAGCCCTGTACTGGTCTGTTCTTACCAGGACGTCTTCCAGGGGTTCAGAATGGGCCCAGGCCAGGCAAAGAAGAACCCATAAGCATTTTCTCAATCCCCTCACTTCAGAGAGGGTCCAGAGAGGCAGGACCTTTGTCTTTTCAGTGTTTGCTTCTTACCTTATCCACATACTTCAGCTCTCGTCACGCTGAAATCTACCTCCCGCTGCCTAACCCCACACCCTGTTCTTGTCCTCTCTTGGGATTCCAGGGCATCAAGGCTGCCGTCTGTGTCTTCATTTCTTTATGTCTCTTGGATTTGACCTCTTTCCATCTCTGCCACTTCCTCCTTTCCCTCTTCTGTCTGCTCTGGGTCTTTGGTTATGAATATTATAAACCATTGCCTGCTGCAGTAGAAGTAAAAATAGGAGGAGGAGGAGGGAGGGAATGGAGAGAGGCAGGTCATAGGGCAGAAGTAGCAGCTGGGCAGAGGAAAGCATTTTCTAGAACAGGAAAGTTAATAGAATTACATTGTATTTGAGATCGTTTTTTCTATATGAGCAGATTTTAGCTGTTCTTGGCACACAAAAAATGGGCAACAATATGAGATGATGGATATGTTAATTTTCTTTGCTATGGTAACCATTTTACTATCTATATGTACCCGATGACAGCATGTTGTATGCCTTAAATACACACAATGCAATTTATTTGTTAAAAAAAAGAATAGGGTCCAGGGATGTAGCTCAGTCAGTAGAGTCCTTGCCTAGCACGTGCAAGGCTTTGGGTTCAATCCTAGCACGGCATATATCTGGGCATAGTGGAAAGGGGGAGTCAGAGGTTCAATGTCAACCTTAGCTACATAGTGAGTTCAGTGCCAGTCTGGGTTACATAAGACCCCGTCTCAAACAGTCAAAAGAGTAAGAGGACTGTGGGAAGTCTCATATAGTCAAGAGGAAAGTGAATTGCCAGGCTACAGAGGTATGGAACCAAGCTGCCTCTGGGCATCCCTGTAGTCTTTAGCCAGCCTACCTGCTTAGGTCAACTGGGTGAGGAACAGAGCATTTAATTCATGGTCTCAACTGGACCAGGGATAACAAGGGAGTCCTAAGGAAAAGAGGGATTCTGGGACCCAGAGAAAGGCAAGGGTACACAGAGCAGACCAGAACAATCGCTGCCCATCGCCAATGCCCACTTTGTCCCAGTGCTCTCCTCGTCTTTCACGTCACCATCCTGGCTGAGAAAGATCAGGAAGGTACCGTGCAAGAAGTGTCATTGAGTAGGCGGTGAGAGGCAGATCAGATTTCAGGACACGGAAGAACAGGAGGAGAGCCATCCAAGGTGGAAGGTCAAGATGACAAATCATGGTGGAGGGGCCAGGGGAGTTCAGGTAGCTCATAGAAGACAAGCGTGGAAGGTGAGCTTAGGCCAGAGACTGTCTCGTTAAGGGTCACTCTCCTCTTCCCTGTCATTTATGCCCAGTTCCTTCTTTCTCCATCAGAGAACTCTGGACCAGGGCAGCCGCAGGAGACGCAGCAGGAGCCGCAGGAGCAGCAGCAGCAGCAGCAGGAGCAATGCTCATTTCGCAGCTGTGTGCTCTCTCGTCGATTCGTCCTGCATGTGGTGTGGTTGTCCACCATCCAGTTGTGGCACTACCTCTTCATCGGCACTCTCAACTCTCTGTTAACCAGCTTGGCTGGCAACGACAGTGTACAAGGTATGTGGTGGGCTTGGGAGCAGTCCTTCAGTGGGTCTCAGGTAGGGACTCAGGAACTGGTGCTGAGCCAGCAAAGCTGTGTGATCCAGGAGGGTTTCTCAGGGTCTGGGGAGGAGGGCTGGAGAAGAGAAAGTCAGGATGGCAGAGTCCTCTCTTGTAAATTACCCTGAAAACTTCTTCTCGCCCAACCCCTCTCTGCAGTCAGCGCCTTCACAAATGCCTTCGCCATCACCCAGTTTTTTGGGGTGCTGTGTGCGCCCTGGAATGGCTTGCTCATGGACCGCCTTAAACAGAAGTATCAGAAGGAAGCCAAAAAGACAGGTGAGGCTGGAGCCAGTGATCGTCACAGACTTCCACAGTCAGCTTTGCCTTTAGCCTTTCTCTCCGCTCTTGTTCATCCACCCACTCAACCCTGGGCCGTACATTTTGTGTCAGCCACAGTACCAGACCCATGAGGATTTAGCATGAGATAGGTGTATCTTGTCTTCCCAAGCTGTTCCTAATGCAGAGGGTAGAGAAAGTAATCATGTAGTTACAATTAGTGAGTTACAGATGCTCTGTGACCGATAGAGTGCTGATTCTATGATGAGGCAAAGTCACACCCATACAGCCGTTCTGAATCTACTTTCATTGTCTACAGATTGCAGCACTTTACTGGATAGTGGGCTTTCTGTTAGATCTGAGCATATTTGAGGTAGCATACACTGAGCCATGATACCCCATAGGCTAAGTATATTCAATGCGTTTTCAACTTGATGGTATTTTTGGCTTCTGATGGATTTTTCTGGATATAGCTCCATTGTGAGTCAGGGAGACTCTGCTAACATTCGGTGGGCTCTGGACACTAAGATGGGTGTGTCACCTGTTGTGGGTGAGGCAGGGTTGCTAGGGAAGGTAGAGGGAGCAGTACCTAAAGTAGGACGGAAAAGATGAAGAAGGGAGGAAAGGGAGAGGAGCCCGCTGGTGGCCGAGGAACGCAGTGGCATGGCAATTGGGGAAAGAGAAGGCATTCAGGAATCTAGACACTTCTGGCAAGTGATTCAAGCTAACTAAAGTGCGGAGTGCATGAGAGTTGCAGGAAAATCCTGCAGGACTCGGGCTCCTCCACATTGCCTTAGAGAGTTAGAACATGGTCCTTGGGTGTGATTGGCAGAACACAAGGATGCTGGGACATTGCACCCTTGGGAGCTGGGGGAAGGGATAAAGGGAGAGAGTACAGTTTATTGTTTGCTCTGCCTGCTTCCTCCTTTCAGCTCTCTATACCCTAACCCCCAGGCACTATTTTAAAATCAAGTTTAGACAGTATGCCGTATTTACTAGCAAATACTTCATAGGTTCTCCTTAACAAACAGAGTCTCTCTTAAATAAACGTCACTGTGAAAATCCCCAATGGTCTCTTAATTTTTTTAAATATGCAGCTGCTCTTCAGATCTCCCTGACTGTCCTTCTCAGTACCTTGACTCATGACTGACTTGTTCAGTGTCTCAACACAAAGTCCACACAAAGTTGAAAGGAGAAAGGTCAAATTGATGTGTCTTTGCATCTTTATTTATTTATTTTAATATTTATCTATTTAAGACAGGGTCTCATCTAGCCTAGGCTAGCCTCCTAGTTGCTATAATAATCAAGGCTGGCCTTGAACCCACTATGCACTTGAGGCCTTGGACTTCTGATCCTTCTGCTGTTACTTCCCAGGTGCTGGGATTACAGGCTTACCACCATGCCCAGCTAACTGACTTTTTTCCTCTTCCTTTTCTGGTACTGGGAAAAGAGCCCCCGAGGCTCCTGCATGCTAAGCAAATACTTTACCACTGAGTTATAGCCCCGGCTCCAGTACTCTTCCTTTACGATTTACGTCAGTTATTTGTTGAAGAAAGCGGGATATTTTTCCTGTCAGATTTCCCACATTTGGACTTGGCATCCTTCATGTATTTCGTGAATGGGCTTCTTTGATTGGGCATTTCCTGTAAATAGGCAGATTCGAAACTTGGAGGAGACTCATTTTTTTTTTCTGGCAAGAATAAGTAGAAACGGAGTTGTGGCCTTTCTCTAGTTCCTTTGCAGGCCACTGCTATCCACTGTCTTTGTTGTTATGACGCTGACATAGGTCAGATGCTTCAGAATTTGACAGTCTGATCCATCCATTATAAAGCTTCCCATCAGCCTGAGCAGATAACGATTTTGCAACCACTGTGATCAATTTAAGACCCATGATTTGATTAGGGTGCTATTTCCATCTTCCCTCCAGAAGACACAGTTTCTCGTGCTGCTTTTTGTGCTGAAGTAAACACTTGCCTTCTTCCTGTTTAACCAGTTTCAGGATGATGAGTTGGTGCCTTAGGGACGTCACACCGCACCAGAGACAAGTGGAACGGCTGTGCCATGGAGTCCAGCTGGGTCCACACTTAGGCTCAATGGTCTCATTTTGTGTCTAAGTTTTTAAAACTTTTTTTCTTTTAACCTTTTTTTTTTTTGAGAATTTCAAATGTGTATGCCATGAGATAGAATCACACCTGATTTGTTTTTCATTTTGAGAAAAGATTGCTTTGTTTGAAAAACAGTTTAATCACACAGTGTATCTAACATGTTCCCATCCTCCTCTGCCTTCTTCAGTGCTGGAGATGGGGCTCAGGGCTACTCACGTGTGCTCTGAACCACAATCCCATAGGCCCTTACTATTCTTCTTTAGATTCCTTAGATTCCTTCCTTCCTTGTTTTTTTTTTTTTTTTTTTTTTGAGATAGGCTCTCGCTATGTAGCCCTGACTGGCCTGGGACTCAGAGAGCTCTATCTGCTTCTTCCTGAGTGCTGAGGTTAAAGGCGTGTGCTAACATGCCTACTTTAAAGTATTTTTTATTCTGTTTATTTATTTTGTGTGTGGGGGGTGCACCCGTGAAGTTCAGAGGACAACTTGTGGGACTCAGTTCTCTCATTCCGCCAGCAAGGCTTGGTGACAGGCATCCTTACCTGCTGAGCCATCCCATAGCCATTCTTCTTCAAGCTCACGTTTACCCGTCTTTGGCCACACATTTGGGACCCTCAGACATGACATTAAGTTTAGACAGTGTCCTTGCCTTCTAGTGCAGTAAGAGGTTTGAGTCTGTCCCATTGGGCATGCTCCTGCCCCAAACATGAAACTGGCCGTTTGTCCAGCTAGTCTTGGGTCTCTGTTGGAAACGGCATTTAGAGACCTCAGGTTGGGTGCTTGCTCTCTCCTTGTATGCTTATTCTTTTTAAAATTAATTTAAAGTGAGCATGCAGTGCTGTAGGCTTCATTATGGCATTTCATACATTTAGTACACACTATTATCCATCTCTCACCCCACTGCCCTCTACTTCCCCCTGCCTCCTCCCTGCTGGCCCTCTTCCTGCCTCTCCCAATAGTCTCTTTCTGTTTTTATGTCATCCTCTCTCATAGGGGGTATTTGTGCAGCTTCAGTGACCCCACACACATGCTCAAACAGGAACATGCATGCACACTCTGGTGTATGAAAGCTCCATCCTTCCCACCTGTACCAATATGCAGACATCTCCACTTCCTCTTCCACCTTTACCTGACCACCTCCACGCCCCAGTTTCTTCACTGCCAGCCCGCTTCCCTTTTCTCCAAGCTCATTCACACCAGCGTAAGGAAAGCAGCATTACACCCCCCACACACACAGACACACACACACAGACACACAGATATACAGACACACACACACACACACACACGTGTGCACTCACACACATGCACACACATACATGCACACAGGCGCGCGCACACAAACACGAGTCCAACAGGACATAGTTATGGTCATTGGTCTCGTTTGTTGTTGTTTCTGATATTTTGGGATTGCTTTGCTTGCCTCCTTCCTGTTTGAATTTTACTGAAAACATTTCACAAGTTAAGCATTTACATGTCCTCAAAACTAAAACTGGGAAACAGGATGTTTAGTTTCTTCTTGTTTTCCTTCATTTCCTCCTTTCGGTGAGCATTTCTATTGCTTTTCTTTACAATACAATAAGCACCTCCATACGATAGGCTTACATATGCCCCTTTCTTAGATAAAATGCTGAGTACTGTCTACATTGCAGATGTGCAGTTACCGTTTCTCCGGCACTTTCTTTTGAGACCCTCCTCACTGCTGTAACTGCTGCCCAGATCTCTGTTATGTGGCCGGCTTGGACTTGGTACCACGCCCCTCTGCTGATGACAGTTTAGATTGTTTCCAGTCCTTTGCCATCACCAGTTGTGTTACAAGTGACAATGATAATAATAGTAGCCATCTTCATCATCTCTGATTCTGGGTGGCCTCTGTTTAGAGGCCACTGCATCTGTGAGTGAGTTAGGGAGCCCTAGGGAACTGGGAAGAGCAGACCCGTTTGATTGACATATAGGTGGGGAGTCATCAACAGCAAGGAGTTGGTGTTGAGATGCGGCCTGGTTCTGATGGGATAGTCCTGATCTTTCTGGCTTTTCCTGCTCTCCCTTGGGCTCAACCCCAGACACCTTCTCTTCCCTCCTGAACCAGGTTCCTCCTCCTCGACTGCAGCTCTCTGCTCCACGGTGCCTTCGCTGGCCTTGACGTCTCTGCTGTGCCTGGGTTTTATCCTGTGCGCCTCCATCCCTGTCATCCAGCTGCAGTATGCTACCTTCATCCTGCAAGTGGTCAGCCGCTCCTTCCTCTACGGCTGCAACGCCGCCTTCCTCACGCTGGCGTAAGTGGGGAAGAGGGAAGCAGGCTGGCCTTGAAGACGTTGTGGAGTGGGATGGGCCTGGAGGGCCAGGTGAGGGTGGTACGTGGAAGGCTGGAGATTGACACCGGACAGGAGGGTGGAGCATCCCACACGGGGGCCTTTGTGTCTAGTGACAGTCCCTGTCTACAAGGCGAGCTCTTGGTCACTCTCCTCCACTCTTCTGCTCTAACTCCCCCACAGAAGAGTTAGAAAGGTATTTCCCCTTCTTTGTGTCCTTGGCACTCCATCCTTGCTTCCTTTGGTAGCACCTGCATCTGTCTTTTCCTTAAGACCTTCCCAGACACAGGCTGGGTCTGGGTCCCCTCTGTTTTCCCCGAGCCTACTACAATGCCTGTGTCTTATGGTTAGAAGGCCTGAGCCAAGCGGGAGAAGGAAGGGCTTGTGTGGGTGACTGAAGGGCAGGCCTAGGAGCTGGCTCACGAACACTCTTCAATGCCAGGCCCCTGCTTGGAGCCACAGGGCTGTATAATTCACTGAAACCTGTCTTTTCCTTCCCCTAGATTTCCTTCAGAGCATTTTGGAAAGCTATTTGGGCTGGTGATGGCTTTGTCAGCTGTTGTGTCTTTGTTGCAGTTTCCTCTGTTCAAGCTCTCCCCCCAGAACATCGCCGTTTATGTGAGTACCGTGCAGGGCACAGGCATTCGTGTGTGTGTGTGTGTGTGTGTGCGCGTGCGTGCGTGCCGTGGGGCCCTTGACTAGAAAGGATACCCAGGCTGAACCTACTGCCTAGGGCCCCAGCAGGGGGCACCCTAAGCTGTCTCAAGAGGCCTGGATGTGTCAGAGGCTTGCATAGAGCAGAAACAGTAACATTCAAGGTTTCGCTTCTCAAACTAGGGTGACAGGCAGAAACCTGGCTCAAGTTGGGGTTTCCTAAAATCAAAGGATTAACATGGTGCCACTTCCCAGAGAGCCTGTGCTTTTCATAGGTCTGGAGAAGAATAATTGATTGTGACTGTGTATTTAAATATATGTTACTCCAGAATAGGATGCAAAATCCTCTCAGAATTTCAAGTGAAAGGGTCTCCCACATCCAGTCAGTGCAGGCCAACCTTGGCTTCTCTATGGAGACTATGGCATAGACTACATTTGTCTCAGGGCAGGAGCTTCATACTTTCACCCCTGGGCCCCATACTCAGTGCATGCTAATGGCCTAGCCCTAGGAGGAAGCTCCAGTTCTCCAGCTTTGGGGAAAATTGGGCATCAAAGAGATTAAATGACTTACAAACTCAGATACTCAAGAGTCACACACAGCTCAGATGTAGAAGTCTCTGTACTTGGGAGTCAGAGTTCTGGCCACTCGTGACCCTGTTTGCCCCATTAAAAAGAGATCATCAGGGTAGGAAAGATGGATCAGTGGGTAAGGGTGCTTGCTGCCAAGTTTGGCAATTTCAGTTCGATCCCTAGGGCCCCATGGTGGAAGGAGAGAGCCAACTGCTACAAGCTGCCCTCTGACCTCTGAAAGGGCTCCATAGCACTTGAACTTACACACACACACACACACACACACACACACACACCACACAAATAAATATGCATCTTTTAGATCAAAGTGTAATGCAAGTGTTAAATCTTCACTAGGAGTAACAAAGCAAAGCTACACTTAAAAACCAAGGGAATTTTCCTCGATTGTGAAATCAGGACACCTAACTCAGTATTTAGTTGTAGTCTAACAGATGCCTCCCCAGCTCCTCGGTGACTGCCGCAGGTCACTGAGTGCTCTCCAGGCCACTGTTGCCCCACCCATGAAGTGGGCTTAGTGGGATTGCAAGTGGCTTACTGGTAGAGTGATTCCTCAGCATGCACAAGGCCCTGAGCACAGCCCTCAGGGATGAATAAGTCATGTGTGGTGGTACATGCCTGTAATTCCAGCATTTGGGAGATGGGCTAGACTTTCAAGGTCAGCCTGAGGCACATGAGATTTAACTCAAGAAAGACGAAGTTGGGAAAATAAACCACAAGTTCTTCAGGTCAGGTCAGCTTGGCGTCTGGGTGGAGACATGGACCCAGTAGGACTTCTGTTGGTGATAGGTGCAGCTCAGAGTTACTGAACTGATCCCTCCTTCCTGTCTTCCCAGGTGTCAATGGGGCTTGCCATTCTTCTGACCTTGGCCCATCCCTTCCTGGTGTACCGAGAGTGCCGCCCTGAGAAAACAAAACCGTCTGTGACTCCCTAGCCCAGAAGCCCTCACCATCTAAGAGCCTTGATGGTGCTTTTCCAGATCCTTCGTCACCTTTGAAGATGCAGTGTCCACAAAGACTTTGCCTACCCAGGAGAACTGTACTAAGCAGCCATAGGTTTTTCTGTTTTGTTTGTTTTTTGTTTGTTTGTTTTTCAAGACAGAGTTTCTGTGCATAACAGTTTTGGTTATCCTGGAACTCACTTTGTTAATCAGGCTGGCCTTGAACCTGAACTCCCTGAGACCTGCCTGCCTCTCCCTCCTGAGTGCTGGGATTAAAGTCTTGTGCCACCAATGGCAGCATTTTTTTTTTAAACAAACAAACCAGGCATTTAAGTGCCATCTAGGACTTCTGATGACCAAGAGGAAAATTTCAGGGACCAAGCGACTTGCATCCATGTAAATTCTCCCTGGTTTGGGAGCAGGAAGTTACTCCTTGCCCTGGGCCTCAGCAGTGGAGGGGGAGATATGTTGCCGAGGCCCATACATGCAGAATATCTGCTACTAGCTGGATTTCCAGGACAACTGTGAGGTCATTATGGCTTCGGTTGTCCCACCTGACATTTAGTTGCAGCACCGAGAGCCACTCTGGCTGCCTCAGAGGCACACTTTTGTTAGAGAATACTCCATGAGCTTTTGGGGAAAGAGGAGCACACAGAGGTCACTGGGCCCAAGTCCCCCACCCCCTTCTGCTGGTGGATGACCTGGGGCTGACCCCTCCAGGCCAGAGCATCTCCTTTTTCCCCATGAGTAAATGCTAGAGCTTGGACTCAAAGATTGTTTTTGGAATTGATATCATATTACCCCAAAGCATTTGGGAACCAGCTAGCCAAAATGATTTTGGGCACTCCCCTTTACCCATTGTGTGTGTGTGTGTGTGTGTGTGTGTGTGTGTGTGTGTGTGGTGTGTGAGCAATGTCTTCTCTTCAGGAAGAGGGATGTTTATTGACCTAAGGCATCATATATATTATATATAATTATCTTGGGGCTGGAGAGATGGCTTAGCTCTCAAGAGCACTGGCTGCTTTTCCAGAGGTCCTAGGTTTGCTTTCTAGAACTCACGGTGACTCACAAACTGTAACTCCAGTCCCTCCATGGGCATTGCATGCTTGTGCACAGACATATATGCATACAAAACACCCATACACATTAAATAAATACATTTTCTAGAGGATAGTTTTATACAACAATAAAGTCTCTATATTTAAGGCAACTGTTGTTTCCACCTCTTTGGGTTTGTGTGAGCATGCGCTTGCACATGTGTGTGTGCTTGTGGGGAGGTGCCATCCTTGGGGACTGGATGCAGGGCAGAGGTGGAGGGATCTTGCTGCACACTGTAGGATGGCATCTTGACACAGAATTAGGATGCAGGGGTGGAGCCAGCTTCTGGGTCCTGGGATGTGGACTCTCAGAGTCCCTCCCATTCCTCTCCACACCCTTCAACCTCAGTCAACACCCTGTGTGCCAAACTCATAGCACTAGTTGTAGTCAGATTGTCTCAGGATAGCCTCAGTTCTGTTACCAGCACTTGGGAAAGCCCCACAAGCATTGCGTCACAGTTCTTTCACCTGCAAGAGGCAGTCAATCATTTCTGTCCTGGAGAGTGATGGGGAGAAGGAAAGTGGAAGCAAATGATTGCCACTTCTTTACTTACTCAGGACTGGATGAAAGAAGGGGAGATAGAGATATGTAGGGAGGCAAGATGGGAGGATCTGGAACATCCCAGCTGTTTTTATTCTACCTGGCAAAGAGGGAAGCTTGAAAAGGATAATGGGAAGAGAGAGTCAGCTGACAGAGTCATCCATCCGTCCATCCATCCATCCATCCATCCACCCATCCATCCATCCATCCATCCATCCATCCATCCATCCATCCATCCATCCTTCTATCCATCTATGCAGTAATTCAGCAAGTGTTTACTGTCTTTACAATACACCCAATGCTGTCTTGGGTGCTAGGGGTGGAGGGATGCTCAGGAAGACAGCTCCTCTGTCTTGTGTTGGGATTCTAAAACAGTTGTTCACAGTGGTCTAGGAACCTGGATCTATAGATAGATAACAGAGTTCTAAGGTGTGGTTTTAGCCTTGTAACTCAGCTCAGAAGCATCTAGATCGGTGGTTCTCATCCTTCCTAATACTGCAACCCTTTAATACTGTTCCTCATGTTGTAATGGCCCCCAACCACAAATTATTTTGTTACTGCAGTTTTGATACTGGTATGAATCACAATGTGCAGGATATCTGATATGTGACCCCCCCCAAAAAAGGGTTACAACTCACAGGTTGAGAACCTCTGATCAAAAGGCTCACAAGACAATTCTAGGCTCCAGCCTGGCATTCAAGGCTTCCTGCAGTATGATCCCTCAACCTTCCCTCCTCCCTTTCCACCTTCAGGAGAGCACAGTCCATTCTGTGGACCAAAGCCTCTGGTCTCTGTGTCTATGTACACTGGTTCCTCTGTGTAGGCTGTCAGTTTTCTCTACTTGGGAAACCTATCATGTTCAAATCTCCAGAAGTCCTTCCTTGGGCTTTTCGGCAGCATGGGGTCTCCATCACTTGGTCACACCCTTCTTGGTGACCAACATCAGACTTTGGTAGGCAGTATCTGGTTGTACCTGATGGAGTACGGGACACGTGCTTGCTCTATACAGGGTGTCAGTTAAAGGTCACAGAGTGTTTTAGTTAGGGTTACCATTGCTGTAATGAAATACTATGACCATAGGCAAGTTGCAGAGAAAAGGGTTTATTTGGCTCATACTTCCGCATCCCAGTCCATCGCTGAAGGAAGTCAGGGCAGAAACTGGGAGGCAGGAGCTGATGGAGAAGCCCAGAGGGGTGTTGCTTACTGGCTTACTCCTTATGACTTATTCACCCTATTTTTTAAAAAAGTAATCTTATTTTACATACCAATCCCAGTTCCCTCTCCCACCCCCAACCTCCCCCTCCCCCATCCACTCCTCAGAGAGGGTGAGGCCTCCCATGGGGAATCAACAAAGTCTATTGCGTCTCTTGAGGCAGGACCAAGGCCCTACCCCCTGTATCTAGGCTAAGAAAGGTATTCCTCCATAGGGAATGTCACCTGCTTTCTTATAGAACCTAGGACCACCAGCCCAGGGACGGCCCCAGCCACAATGGGCTGGGCCCTCTTCCACCAGTGACGAATCAAGAAAATGCCCTACAGCTTCATCTTATGATGGCATTTGTGGTTCCTCCTTTCAGTTGAGTAGTCTGTGTCAAGTGGGCATATAACTAGCCAGCACATGGAGTGAATGGTCATTGGATGAATGGATTTTCCCTTGTTCCAGCCTCATTGCCAACTGGAAGGAAGCAAGAGCTCCAGGCAGGGAGGAGCAAGTGAAGTGGGGTGCACTGGGAATCTCGGCTCTGACACTTACTAGTATGACCTGAATGGCTACTTCGGCTCCACATCTCATCACTATTATGGAAAACAGAGACTTGTCCCCCTGGGTTGTAGCTAGGGATGGGAATCAGGTCAAACACATGACTCCTAAAAGCGACTGTGGCAAACACAGGTAACACTAACAGACAACGCATTAAAGTGCCAAAGACATCTAAGGTTTATCAATGGGGAATGAACAAACAGAACATACTCTTAAGGGCTGGCGAGATGGCTCAGCAGTTACGAACACTGGCTGCTCTTCCAGAGGACCTGGATTCAATTCCCAGCCACCACATGGCAGCTTACAACCATCTATTATGGCATCTGATACTCTCTTCTGGCATGCAAGCATGCATGCAGATAGAGTACTCATACATAAAACATATAAGTAAATAAAATTTAAAAAACATACTCATAAAATGGAATATTGTTTGGTAATAAAAACCATTGAAGTACTGACACATACTATAATGTGGAGGAACTTGAATGCATTATGCTAAGTGAGAAAGCTAGTCACAAGAGATGATGAATAGTATAACTGATCCCCATTTACATATTAATGCCCTGAATATGCAAATTCACAGAGGCAGAAAGACTACTAGGTTGTCTATGCCTGTTGGTAGGGCATGCTTATTGACTAGGGATAGCTTTTGAAAATTGTTAGAGTAGGCATGGTGGTGCACACCTTTAATCCTAGCACTGTGAGTTTGAGGACAGCTTGGTCTACATAGTTCCAGGACAGCTAGGACTACATAAAGAGACTTTGTCTCAAAAACAAGACAACATAACAAAAATTGATACATAAATAATAAAAATTGATGGGACTGATAACTGCAACATACTTTTTATACTTCAAATGGATGAGTTATGTGGGATATGAATTATACTCACTAGAGCTTTCATTTAAGAAAAGATGCTTGGAACCGAGCAGTGGTGGCGCACACCTATAATCCCTGCACTCGGGAGGCAGAGGCAGACGGATCTCTGTGAGTTAGAGGTCAGTCTGGTCTACAGAGCGAGTTCCAGGACAGCCAAGACTACACAAAGAATCCCTGTTCTCAAAAAACCAAAACAAAACCAAACCAGAATTAATGAAATAAACAAAATAAATAAAATGTCTGGATTTCCTAAGAAATGCAGAGAATGCTCATTTTTTTGGGGAGTTACAGGCAATCTCTGGGAAGCTAAGCAAGAAAGGAGTGAGATCTCACTTCCTCCCCTGGGACTCTGTAGAGAGTTCTTCCTCCCTCTTCAGCCTCTTCCCGGAAGAGACCATCTGCAGTTTCACAGGTCAGGTGGAAGCCAGCCACACAGGGTTCACTAGGTTTGAGTTGGCCAATTGCACTTCCAGTGTAATCCTGGATTCCAGCCACCAATCTCAGCAGGTAAGGGCCAGAGGCAACTGCCTTCACTCTGCCCTACAGTGCCATGGTGGACCTCCTTTGGGGACAGTATCATTCATGGGAAGTTTAGTTAACAGTTGTCTTAGGGACTTGTGCGATGTTCTTTAAACTTGTTTTGGCCAGAGAAGTATATGTAATCAGCCCTGTTTTATAACTCAAGAAGCTTATCAACTAATGTCATCAAAGTTACCCAAATATGATTTTAAATAGCTGCGTATGATGCCATCACAGGGCTATGCTTCCGCTTGTATTCACCCACCCCATTAGTGGATATTACTTCCCACACATGTTCTTGGGATGCTGTGCCCTCCCCATTCTTTCTGCCACCAGCACAGGGGTCCCAGACAACCTGAGTCATAGACAGTCTGAGAAAGCAGTCTGCAGAGTTCCAGTAATAACAGAAGTCAGAAAATGGGCAAATGGTATCAGGGTCATCGCAAATTGTCACCAAGGAAGTTTCCAGAGAGTGATGTATAGAGACAAAAGGTTCCCAAATAAAAGGACCAGAACTAAAAAGGAAACTTTCTAGAAGCCAGACCTCAGTGACTTGTGATGACTTATTTAACCAATCAGAGCCTGACCCCGAAGACCCCTGCCTCACCCCAGATGACTGAGTAGGATAGGTGGTATTATGAGATTTACTATGTATATAACAAGATAGTGAGCTGCCCTCTTGAATTCTGCTCAAACACAGTCCCACACAAACAAGAAGCAAGACCAGGGCACTTTCTTTTTCCGTGTTTCTTTTTTTTTCTCAATATATGTTTTTATTTAAATTAGAAACATGCATGCTTCATATGTCAATCCCAGCTCCCTCTCCCACCCCTCCTCCCCTGTCCCTCCACCAGTCCTCCAGCCCCCCACCCAATCCCCACACCGTTCCCCAGGGAGGGTGAGGCCCTCCTTGGGGGAATCTCCAGAGTCTGTCACTTCATCCAGGGCAGCACCTAGGCCCTCTGCCAGGGAACCTCCTAACTACATAAATGAGCCCCTTTCCCTCTCAGAGTCTCTCTCTCTCTTTCTGAGTTTGTCCCTGGGTGTCTGCCCACCGTTAAAATGGATGGTGAGGTAGCTCAGTGGGTAAAGGCATTTGATGCCAAACCTGATGATTGGGGTTTGATTCTTGGGGTAGGAGGAGAAAAAGGACTATTGTAAGTTGTCCTATGACCCCCTCACATAAAACAAACAAACAAACAAATCTTTTGTATCACTTCTGGTCTGGTGAATGCTTTTGCCATGATGCCTCAGGGTCATGGTTCCTGTCATGACCCAATGTGCCTCCCTTAATCCTCATTGATCATCTGGTGCTAATTTACTCAGCTGAAGGTGCTCACCCAGTGCTGGAAACTTCCTGAGATTCAGTGCTTGCAGCAAGGGTTCCTATGGCTTTATTTGGAAGCTCCCTCACCAC